AGAATGCATTTCTAATGCAAGAGATCAGGAATTGGTTCCACTGACTGGCTACAACTTTCAGTGTATAAAACTGTATCAAATATTAATTTAACAGACGCATTGATGCCTTTAGGGGCAACTGTAGATACGATGATATTTCTCTCGATAGCGCACGTTCCAAAATTTGAAAAAAGTTACTTAAATTCCCAGCGAACGAGATGATCCTTCTTTTACAGCTTACAAAAAGAACCGTTCCCCTCTCAATGCGAAATTTTGGGTCAATGGGCACGGATGCCCACCCATATCATGGAGGAATTTTCGAACTTTCCATACACGAACTGGCTCAGCTCATGGAATGCATGCTATATATTCTGAAATTTGCCCCTGAACCTGAAGTCTAGACGAAATATTTTGGATTCGATGAGAAAAAATGCCAGAAAGTCATTGCCTGCCTAGCGATTAAAATTATTTGATAAAAGATTTGGAATGACACTTTGGGAATAGGTTAATAATGGCAGCGATCGAAGGGTTGCTGCGTATAGCTTTGCTCGGTGTCGTCATAGACGTACAATAAAATTCATGCTGTCGTTCAGCCAATCATCCATTATAAATCAAACATTGTGGATAAAACTGTTCCATGTACCAGAAAAAAATGATTTAACAGTAAGAAATTTACCATCTTAAGAACTGTCCAGCCGCAGTCAGGCGAATTTTTCAGGGTCAGCGTCGAGGCAAAGATGAGGGAGACGCTATACCCGCATGTCACAAAGGGTTGCCTCGGCTCCATATCATTATTAATAATAATAAGAAAGTTATTGATAAGAAGCATGCTCTGGTCTTTAATCTATCTTGCATAAAAGAAAAGCTTCTGCCAAATTACACCAATATCATAATTACTCACTATTATTGTCATACTATTTTTGCGGCTCCTTGGTTCATGTTTCTCAAATTTCCGATCATTCTAAAACGTATTATTTAATAGACTAGTATCAGCGGATTATTTAATATAATTATCATTACTGATACTAGCTAGCTAAGTGGCCAACTGATGAGTGAACGCTATCGTAGTCTTATTTGCAGACCTCAATTAATGCAAAAGAGGCTTTTAGTTCAAGTAGGTCCCGTTTGGGCTCATGTTTCATCCGTCTTCAGGAACTGATTGCAATTTAGAATTTTATTACAAATTTAGTTCTGCGCTCTCAATTGTTATCACTATGTAAACGCTTGGAAATTATTGGCTGAAACCATTCGAGTTCCATCCCTGAATAACTGAATGGAGGCACTTGAATTTTTTCGAGCGGTGGGTAGTATAAGTGCCTACACAAGGCCCGCAGAGCTATAACTTATTAGTCTCTCCATTGCTCGATGACGAAAAATCCCTCCATGCATATATGTTTTGTTATTTCTGGGTGTGTTATGGGTGCCACCATTAATATTGACATATAAAGTCAAATTCATGAAAACTGATTCGACGTGCGGATGAATGAGGCATGAATTTGAACTTTGTTGTTAGCTAAACTGAACATTCATAATATAATTTCTTCCAAATTGTCGAAATACTTCATGCTATTTGTTTTGGTAAATCAGACATGTATATTTCCTTATATTAATAAAATAAATTTTAGCAACTTACTTCATTGACTATAACAATGACTAACATTTCCTTACGAGTACAAAGAAATTTACTTTACCATCTCACTTTAGTCTGAAGTTGTAATGTTTTCCCCCAAAGTTGTTATGATTCACCAAGGTCAGCATAATGAACCTTTTGTTCGTCAATTAAAATATAATTTATTCACGTTCAATTCAACTTCTAATCAACAACTCAACCTTTAAATCCAAACTCATTTGAACACATATTTGTTTACGCCTAAAATTTCTTCGGCAAGAATCACCGTTAAAACTTTTTTCACTACCTACTAGTTTATGCCATTCACGCAGGGATGTCGAGGTGGCTGAGGTATATCAAATTTGTTATCATGACCCTGAAACGTTGTACTTTGTTCCAACTCGTGTGTCATGAATGACAGATGAATTGGTCGACATAGATTGATGAAGTAACACCTACGAACTCCTAACTTGAATAATTTTAGAATTCGCATAGACGTTCCGCTTTGTATATGCTAATGAATTTGTACACATATCAAGCATAGATCAATATATTTTGCTTTGTGCTACAAGTTTCACATACCAAGAATAATATAATACTCGGTAAGTAATGAAGTTCTTCCTTTCAAATATAAGGGAAATTTCAATTCTTAGCTGATTCATAAAACAAACTAAGTTTAGCAAGATGGACTAAATGTATAGATTTAGTAAATTAAATGAGAGGAAGGCTCCGTCCCCATGTGCGGTAAATTGTAAAGGGTTAAGTCAACACTGGCAATTCTTAGCTGATTCATAAAATAAACTAAATTTATCAGGAAGTTTTAAATGAATATATTTATAATAGTAAATAAGAGGAAGGATCCGTCCCTATGTGCAGTAAAGGGTTAAGTCACTACGGGTGACCAGTAAGTGGCCTTAGCAGACAAGGCTGCACCCTAAACCTATACTCTCATCTCGCGTTTCCTCATTTCCTCGAATTATACATGCGGGATGCCAACAAAAACTTACGTCGATTGGAAAGTCAATGTTTGTCTAAGTTTTCTTGGCTTTCAAACAATTTATCTGTTGTGCAGTTGTGGAGAAAAGATTTTAGAGTTACGTGGACGCTGTAAATTGACTCCTGGAAGGTGAATGAATTTTAGAATCCGTATTTTGCATTCACTGAGAAACCGGCACGTTTTGTTCTGTAATACAGCAATTGCTTTAACATTTTTCAATTTTTCACTGAAATTTTGAGCAAATTTTGTGTTGCGTTCAAGAATTTTCAATAAATTGATGACAGTGACATACCTAAATAACTATTTTCATCCACGTGTCTGCAAAGAACATAATTGTGAACAAAATTATTATTCCCACCTAATAAAATTACATCTTCGATTGCCAATTATCAATTTAGTTCCTATGGTACACGAAACGTTTTATATACTCATTACCTTTCGGCTGAAACGGTAATTCAAAAATAATTATTTCTCAATTTTAGTATGCTATTGAGCATTGAATTAGCGTCCTTCAAAAATTTATATCAAGGATACGTCACCCGATTTTTTAGCCAAATGCCCACGAGCGTGATACGCGCGAATCGTCCACACGTTAGTGAAAAAATATAACTCAATGCTCACTGCAGTGAGTGACAGAGAGCGCCTTTTCTCGTCGACGAAAACGTGAAGTCACGGACCGACGGACGGACAGACAGACAGCGGATATGACTAGCACAGTAGCGCTTTTTTCCATAAATAAGAAAATGCGCTAAAAAATGTCAAGATGCCAGCTCTTTCCAGTTCGCCATTCCGTAATCACCGATACCGCCGATCACGGGCGCGTTAGAGCCGCTATGACTCCTCGCTACACGGGCGTTCCATGACACCAGATCACGTACCACCAGTAAACACTCACGTGACATCAATAGATATACAGGGGATAGACAAAATAAGGGAAGCACCTGAGAAACCCACATAATATATTTCAGTATGGTGTAGGTCCACCTTTTATGGCAATTACAGCCTCAATTCTCCGAGGTATTGATTCATACAAATTGTGAATTGTTTGCAAATGAATTTTAACTTAGCCTTCGGTTAAAACTCCATCCAGCTCTTCTAAAGACGAAGGCGGCGGGAATCGATTTCTGACTTACATCTCTAGAATCGACCATAAATTCTCGATAATATTCAGATCTGGGGATTATGGTGATGGATAATATTCAGGTCTGGTGATTAGAATGTTCCTCATGCCATTTTTAAACAATTTCAGCTGTATGGGTCGGGGCATTATCATCTTGAAAAATGGCGTTCCCCTGCAGAAAAAATACTTGAACCATATGATGAGCTTGGTCCACCAAAATTCCTAAATAGTCACGGCTGTTGATTCTTCCATGAAGAGAAATCATTGGCTCGCCGGATTTCCGAGAAATAGCACCCCAGATCATCACCGATCCCCCGCCATGTTTTACAGTTGGGAGGAGGTATAGTCGAGATTCAATGACTCTTTTGGCCCTCGGAACGTAAACTCGGCTATATGTTGGAAATAAGGTAAACAATGATTCTTCAGAGAAAATCACATTTTTTACTGCTCGAGAAACCAATTCTGGAGGTTTTTACACCATTTGAAGCATTCGCATTTGAAACCAGAGGTTTTCTAATTGCAGCTCTTCCATAGAATCCAGATCTGTGCATCTCTCGGCGGACAGTCTATTGAAACTGGGTTCTGTAGGTGTCCATCGAGGTCAGCAGTAATTTTCAACAGCCGTGGTTTTTCGATTGTCCCTAATAATTCGATTTGGGTACCGACGGTCTCTCTCAGACAACTTCGACTTTTGGCCAGACTTGTGCTTTACTGAGGACGTTTTTGCTTCTTTTTCAAATGCATTCAGTACTTTTGAGACAGTACTTCTAGCAAGTGTCAAGTGTTCGGGAATTTTCTGTCCCACTAGCACCTGCCATATACGGGCTCCAACCATTTGGCCTCTGAAAGTAGGAGAGGTTTGCCATTTATTCGGTATAGGTTAGGTTATAGACTAAATAATATACTAAAAAATCTGTGCAAGGATAAAATGTCAATTAGCAGCAACAATAAACAATAAAACGTATAAATATGTAACTTTTAATTATTTACAACATGTTCAAAAGTTACGCAAGCGTGTAATTAGGCGAATTACAGCCGAGCGTGTACTCAGACGGGTCGCGGTTCACAGATGTATTAACTTGGTTCGTTCCTGACCACAGCCGAGCGTGTACTCAGACGGGTCGCGGTTCACAGATGTATTAACTTGCTTCGTTCCTGTCCACAGCCGAGCGTGTACTCAGACTGGTCGCGGTTCACAGATGTATTAACTTGATTCGTTTTTGTCCACAGCCGAGCGTGTACTCAGACGGGTCGCGGTTCACAGATGTATTAACTCGGTTCGTTCCTGTCCACAGCCGAGCGTGTACTCAGACGGGTCGCGGTTCACGGAGGTTGACAGTAGCCCCGTCTACAAGCTGGAGATCCCAAATTGTCGCCTGGAAGACACCGGCGCCTACAGCATCTTGGCTAAGAACGACCATGGCGAGTCCAGGGCTGTCATCTCGCTGCAAGTCTACACCAAAGGTGAATATAATCTTGCTGTGATTCGTGTTCTTCATTCTATATATTCACTGGAGAATTTAGAGTTATAGCTCTTCTCCATGTTCACGTTTTTCACATTGCGCAAAACATCCGGGAATGTTGCCAAGCGATCACTCAGAATCTCATTTTCCGTGTCGACCGTCCAACTCCTGTTCTACCGTTTACCGTTCGTTGATATTTATTTGAATAATTTCGTTCGAAAGAAAATTGAATCTTGCCTTGATATGCACGAGTCATCACTGATTAAGATATGCTCTCCTAAAGATAAGGTTGTCCATTTTATTCCCGATTGATTAAAAACTTCCAGATACATGGCAGCTTCGCGCAAAAAAATAAAACCGTTTTTCTGCGGTTTATTACTCTAGTATTCTGATGAGTGTTGATATTATACGTGGTTCATATCGAGTAATCTAGGAATACTATTTATTATTTCGAAAGAATATGAAATTATGTTCTTGGCTTGAAATCGTAGTTTTAATGATGTATACTTAGAATTGAAAATACTTGATTAAATTAAGGAAATTCGAAGCAGGCTATTTTAAATTAATACTTTGAAAACAGTATTAAACCAAATCGAGGAAGGATCAATGAAGAATGTTTATTTAACTATTGCTACTTATTTTATCAAACGAAATTAAGGAACTGAATTTTTTGTATACTCGCCAAATGCACGCGCAACGCACACCGGCATTGTTTGCCATGTTGAGGCGCTGGGTCACCTGACACCTTCGCGGCCCAGGCCAGTGTTGAGGCTAAATAATCCTCTAGCGGTGAGGCCCCGCGCCCCACCGCCGCCCAGGCCAGTGTTGGGGCTAAATAATCCCCGAGCGGTGAGGCCCTGCACCACACCGTGGTCCAGGCCAGTGTTGCGGCTAAATAATCCTCTAGCGGTGAGGCCCTGCACCACACCGCGGCCTGATTAGAAATAGGAATAAATAAGATAAGAATAGGGGGATTTGGGGGTTGAGATGCAGAGTTTGAATTAAGGGGTGGAGCTCGAGCCGCCTAGCACGCATGCGCGGGACCGGGGGAGTATTTAACAGGAGGTAGCGGGCGACCGCGGGCAGTCACGCGGCGGCGTTAGAGAGAGTCGGTGTGTCGAAATAATTAGTATCTTGCAAAAACTATAAATCCTGTCGACGCCACCCCCTTATATCGATGAGTACAGTTTCGGTTAAAGGTTGAAATTACTACATCAAGACCAAGAAGAAAGGTTAGAAAAGAAAGTAGGAGTAGGACGGAAATCTTTAATCAAACGAAAGTAGACCTCACTAATCAGGCCCAGGCCAGCGTTGGGGCTAAATAATCCCCGAGCTGTAAGGCCCCGCGCCCCACTGTGGCCCAGGCCAGCGTTGAGGCTAAATAATCCCCGAGTTGTGAGGCCCTGCACCATACCGCGGCCCAGGCCTGTAGGCCAGCGTTGGGGCTAAATAATCCCCGAGCGATGAGGCCCCGCTCCGCGCCGCGGCCCAGGCCAACGTTGGGGCGTCGGGGCGTTGGGGCTAATTATTCCCCAAGCGGTGAGGCCCTGCACCGCACCGCGGCCCAGGCTCGTGCTGATATGAGCGGTTGAGTGAAACACGCGCTGATATGAACGGGTCAAGTGAGACACGCTGATTTCAAGTGAGACATGCGCGCAGTTCTCACTTTTCAAGCGCTTGCTGCTCGTTCTTCATGCGTGCGCGTCGAGTCACGCTTGAGCGCGTCTTTGTTTCCTGGCGGTCAGGACGCAGGCTCGGGTCACAGCGAATTATTGCCGCTCGCCGCACTATTGTCGAGTGCCTTTGTGCTCTCGTCGACTGCCTTTACTCTCTCGTTGAGTGCCTTTTGCCTTGGTCGAGTGCCATTGTGCTCTCGTCGAGTTTCTTTGTGCTCTCGTCGAGTGCCATTGTGCACTCGTTGGCTGCCTTTGCACTCTCGTTAAGTGCCTTTTGCCTTGGTCGAGTGCCATTGTGCTCTCTTCGAGTGCCTTTTGCTCTCGTCGAGTGCCTTTGTGTTCTCGTCGAGTCCCTTTGTGCTCTCGTCGAGTGCCTTTGTGTTCTCGTAGTGTGCCTTTGTGCTCTCGTCGCGTGCTTTTGCATTTTCTTTGAGTGTCTTTGCACTCTGGTCGTGTGCTTTTTTGCTCTCATCGAGTGCCTGTGCCCTATCGTCGAGTGACTTTGAACCCTCGTCGTGTGCCTTTCTGCTCTCATCGAGTGCCTTTGCCATATCGTCGAGTGACTTTGAGCCCTCGTCGTGTGCCTTTGCACTCTCGTCGAGGGCCTTTGTGCTATTTGTCCAGTCTTTTGTGCCCGAGGTCTAATCGCGCTTGTGCTCATTGTAAAGTGCCTCTGTACTCGTCGTCGAGTGCCTTTGTGCTTATTATCGAGTATCGCAATAAGTCTTTTGTATCAGACAATCACAATGTGATGTGCATTATAAATGGAGTTCCTCACCATGATGAGGGGGAGGGAAGGGGGACGGTTATGGCTTCACGGTTCACAGGACACGACTGTAATTTCGTCAAGTGCCTGTAGCTGTTAGCCTTCCTCGGGTACGGTTACTGATAAAAAAGCTCTGCTTCATTTCACTTTCTTTCGCGCGCGTCACTAAACCTTATTTATATCATTTGACCTTCTTGTTTCTTTCAGAATCTCGCGTCGTTCATTTTCTAACGGTGCAGCTTGCCTCTTGTAATTCAAATCATCCATTTACTAGCTAGTAGCTCGTACTACTACAGTATAGGTACTTGCTATGAGTCGTTAAACTTGCCCCATCCCTTCGGAGTTATCGACCTCGCACACTATACATAGTGAAAGGCGCAAAACTTTTACAATCGCCTTGAAATTAGCCCTGAATACCAAACCCTAGGAGCTAAACTTCGATGATGGGCTTACATAAATTCAATTCAATCTAAAAATTATTTGATTAAGCACTTTACAAGTCTACGCAGTTGCTGAAGCTGGAGTCTCATGCTTTCGCACGAACTTTTTATATAGTTTATTTTATACTAAAATGAAATATTCTGAAAATTAACTTCTGTTATTTATTTAATCAGTCACTAACCTGAATTATACCTCGTCAATTTACGTTAGTCGAATCAATTTTATGATGATTCGCAACCAAGCTTCTTTCTTCCAGTTCAAAATCGTCATTCTTATATAATCAACCACACATTCATTCAATTCATACACTCGATTATTTCTACATACCGTTTACATTTCTGACGCTTTAATACAAAGGATTAAATTCTTGATATTAATAATTGAATTTGGTTATTAATAATTAGTAGCCCTCTCGTACTGCGTAAACTCCGCAGAATTCGACATGGCCAATAAAAGACCAAATATTATCGGACGAACCACCACCAAAAAAAAAAATATACGAAAAATATTAAAGTTGATACAAGCTCTGGAAAATATGTTAATTAGAATGATAAATATTGTGCAAGCTTTCATTCACTGCTGCTTAGAAATAATTTAAGATCCGCCATTGATTTTCTGTCATTGAATTAACTTTACATTACTTTTAATTACACTACAAAACGAAATAGTTTGTTGGTAACTTTTACCCATAGTTGAATTATTGTATTACGAATTGAACTGAAAATTATCAAGTTTTCTTCTAAAAATCCTCTAGTAGTAGATATTTTCGCGGAAGCTTTAAAAATTTAGCTCTGCTTATATTAATGGTTGAAATCCTTCTTTTTCAGGACTGAAGGGTGACTTGAAAGGTGGCAGCGTCAAGCGAGGGTTCGTATTATAGCTTATATTTATATTAATATAATATTTTATTATTATTTATTTGTTGGAATCCAACATTCCCCGATTTACTATTCGGTAATGGTATGATTATGTCCCAATATATTTGCTCTGTTCGACAAATGTGTAGTTTGTCTGCGGTTTACCAAAAAAGCAAATACGGTTGGACTCGATTGCCACAAATTTCATAAATCACAAAACTTTCTTCAATAATTAAGGATGAAGGTTCTTATGTGACCAGCGCGCTAGAGAAAAAAGTTTAAGCTTATGTGAAAAACGAGGGAAACGGTGTGATCGTTGATAAGTAAGGTGCTTTAATACAGTGAGAATAGTTCGGTGAGTATGTTATGGTGACCATTGTACGAATGTATCATGAATAACATTCAAGTCTCGACATATCGTGCTTGCCGCGCATTACTAACCAGAAAGGAGTTTTGACCCGGTAACGGGCCCGTCCCGCGCCGTATAACGGGCTGACACCTGCTAACGGAACCCGTGCCTTGTAACGGGCTCACACCTGCAAACGGAACCCGTCCCGTGCCGTGTAACGGGTTCACACCCGCTAAATGAACCCGTCCCGTGCCATGTAACGGGTTCACACCCGCTAACTGAACCCGTCCCGTGTCGTGTAACGGGTCCACACCTGCCAACGGAACCCGTGCCGTGTAACGGGTTCACATCTGCTAACGGACCCCGTCCCGTGCCGTGTAACGGGTCCACACCTGGTAACTGAACCCGTTCCGTGCCGTGTAACGGGTCCACACCCGCTAATTGAACCCGTCCCGTGCCGTGTAACGGGTTTAAATCTGCTAACGGAACCCGTGCCGTGTAACGGGTCCACACCAGCTAACGGGCCCGTTGCTCCCCCAGCGTGATGGAGGCGGTGCCGCGGGTGGTACGTCCCCTGCAAGACGTGCGCTGCTGCGACGGGGACGCCGTGACGCTCGAGACGCTCTTTGATGCCCCGCCTGCCTGCCTCGTGCGCTGGGAGAAGCAGGGACATGTGAGTGCTGGGACACGGGAGTGCTGGGAATGTGAGTGCTGGGACATGTGTGTGCTGGGACATGTGAGTGCGGGGACATGTGAGTGCTGGGACACGCGAGTGCTGGGACATGTGTGTGCTGGGACATGTGAGTGCTGGGACACGCGAGTGCTGGGACATGTGAGTGCTGGGACACGCGAGTGCTGGGACACGCGTATGCTGGGGGTGAAGGGACACGGGAGTGCTGGGACACGAAAGTGCTAGGAGGTGCAAGTGTGCCGCTGATGGATACTGGGGACGTGAGCTGGGACTGGGACGGCGTTGACGTGTAGTGTGCCGTGTTGTGCAGGTGCTGAAGGATACCGGGGACGTGAGCTGGGACTGGGACGGTGTTGACGTGTACTGTGTCGTGTTGTGCAGGTGCTGAAGGATACTGGGGACGTGAGCTGGGACTGGGACGGCGCCCGTGCACGTCTCAAGATCAGGGCCGTTTACCCAGAAGATGAGGGCGAGTATTGCTGCATCGTCTACAACGACATGGGCAAAGCTGTCACCTCCGCCACCCTCGTAGTCGAAAGTCAGACCCAAACTCATTTTCTTGCGATGGTCTCAAAATTTTGCACGTAGTTTTCAAACAGTTGCTTACAGTATATGTTGCATTAATAGTTTTCAAAATACTTGCATGTTTTGCGTTAATAATTTCTTCGTTGTGTACATTAATTTTATTTTAGCATTTGACATAAGTTTTATTACTTCCATTAGTTTATTAGACGCATTATGTCAGTGTTTATCCCATTGATTGATATAATTTACAAGATAGTTGACAAGTCGAGGTAGTTAAATTCTCATAAAGAAATGCGAAAAGCTTAGTTTGTTGGTTAGAGGAAAAAATACCAATGCCAATCCATATTAAATATAGATGCTGTGAAGCAAAATCCTGACGACATTAATAGTGAGTGTTGGTGCAAGTGCCCGTAAATGCTGATCCCAATACCTGCCATCCCAGAATTACTGCTGGCAACGCACCCGCGTTTCATTCACTTTACTAGTACCTCTTGTTTACATGGAATGTCGCGCGATGTAATACTTATTCGGCCGCTCAAGGTGATTGGTTGTAGCAGGTGATTAGACGTTTCAGATTAGACGTTGCAGATTAGACGTTGCAGATTAGACGTTGCAGATTAGACGTTGCAGATTAGACGTTGCAGATTAGACGTTGCAGATTAGACGTTGTTGCAGATTAGAAGTTGCAGATTGGACGTTGCAGATTAGACGTTGTAGATTAGACGTTGCAGATTAGACGTTGTAGATTAGACGTTGCAGATTAGATGTTGCAGATTAGACGTTGCAGATTAGTCGTTGCAGATTAGACGTTGCAGATTAGACGTTGCAGATTAGACGTTTCAGATTAGATGTTGCAGATTAGACGTTTGGTTGTGGTGGGTGAATGCCGGCGGCGCTGGCGCTTCAGATGCACTGCACGGATTCGCCTGCAGGTCGATGTTGTTGATCGGTTTCTTCGTCCACGGCAATATCTTTTCAATTTTTTTCTGCCGATTTTGGCACATCTGCCAATACGCTGGTAATTAAAATCATGGTGCGTGTACATGGTAATGTTGTTGCTCGGTTCCATCGTCCCCGGCAATGCGGTCAATTTTTTATTGCCGATGTTGGCACATTTGCCAATACGCTGGTAATAAGAATCATGGTGCCTACGCATGGTATTCATGTAGACTCCCTTTACTCATTTCAGTGGCGGAAGACAAGGAGAACGACCTGACGGTGCAGATGGAACACCGTCCCGACCTGTCCCGACGCACCACTCCATCCCGCGCCACTCCATCCCGCTACTCCCGCAGCCCCTCCGTCACCAGCTTCACGCGTGAGTGACTGCTTTTTATTACATAGAACGTATGCTTAGATATATCTTAAATTGATCTTTCATGAGGACATAGAATACAAACATAATGCATGAATATGTATGATCCGTACATCGAACATAAAACATTACAAAAGGTTTTGCTGGTCGGTTATTTTGTTCTTATCCAACACTTCTTTCTTTAGTTCATTTAGCGAGGATAGTTTTTTTAATTTTCAGAAAATTACCATGTATGATTTTGCGTTCTGATTGGCGATGACGAAATACGTCATCTATTTCTATTAAATTTTATCTCACAACTATATTCTAAGCTGTATTATCATTTATCTAATTTATGGAACCTAGTCGAGAAATAATTTATACAGAGGAAATTATTGAATAATGAGATAAACTCGTTAATATAAACCAAGAATTCCATACACTATGTCCCGACATGAGTTTTGTTACTGTCGCATCGGTTACCGCTTGCTATCATGGATACTGCCGTTCAATTCCACACGACGCTCTGAAATTTAATATTTCTGATGAATATCATGAAGTAGATAAATATTGTCCTTCTTAAGTTGGTGTAAGTTGAAATGTTTTCTACCCATATTTTTATCAGTTATACAATTCGACTCATCGTATCGAAATGAATTACCTACCAAAATTATTGAAACTTCTTCTTAATTTGGAGTATTAATATTTCATTTTCCAGTAAATTTTTAGGTGGATGGTTTGAAAATTTTAGGTTGATAGTAAAATCATCCGCATCTATTATTACTATGAAATTTACTCTTATATCTTAAAAAATGGAAATTAATAAGATAGAATATCTCGGTTCTGAGTTCTATTTTGAAGCCACGAGCTGAGCCAAGGATGGATGACGACTACCATGCATCTACTCCACCATCTACTCCACCATCTACTCCACCATCTACTCCACCATCTACTCCACCATCTACTCCACCATCTACTCCACCATCTACTCCACCATCTTCCGGCAACGAAAAAGGCAGAAGAATGATGGCGTTCACGAGAAGTTGGGCTAGCAGACAATGGCCGCTTAGCTCTGAATAATCCCTGCTCGGTTATTCACACAATCGGGCATCGCCGTAAACGGCCAATGACTATTTAAGTTATCCTAGCATTAATAAACGAAATTTTCAAGTTATACAGTAATAATTGATACGCAGGATCTCCGATATTTGATTAACGTAAATGATTACTGTAGAAATGGTACCCAGCATTGCTGCTACGTGTACAGGTCGGAGATGTTCTTTGACTGGAGGCTAGAACTTTCCTGCTACGATCTAAATTAGAAGGAATTGCTCATGACACAAGTTAACTTCAGTGGGTAATGGGCTTTGCAGGGGAGGGCAGTGCCCACAGTTGGGCTGGAGTGGGCTGGAGGGAGCCCTCCATCCCTGTAGCCCACTGGCGTCCTCTCTCCAGAGGTTCCTCCCCTCTTCTCTTCGGTCAGATTCCATTTGTGCCCTTCGGCATCAGTATTGCCCTACCCGTTAACTGTGTACCCTGTTTGAACTTATGTTTATTATTACCTGCATTATCTATAGCTAGTTAACCTTCATAAATTTTACATTTCCTAAAAATTGGATATTTTTACAGGCTTGAAGATTGCATTTACGAGTGTTGTTGGCTTCCCTGTTTTGTTGCGATGAGAGTCCTCAAAAGTTTTGAATAAGTGACGTGTGCCACATGTTTTTAATCCTTCCCATTCGTCTAACTTACTTGTATCTTTGCATTCTTTTTAATCCATGGTAGTTTTTGATTTTCATATAGACATATTCTTGCTATTCTAAAAATAATATAAATTAGCACCGTGACTCCCCATGAGTTCGCACTCGAACCGTACTCATGATCTGATATGGTAGACTCTTTTTTATTTTGTTTTTGTTCTAAAGAAGGCGAATCTTCTGGTCACAGAATAATAAAATGAGAGTTAATTAGAATCTTAAATATAATTGAAGATGTCATTGTCACATGTTTTCAGAGCGGTATTGAAACATGAATTAAGAATATAAAGTATTGAATTAAGAGCTATAATCATTGGGTAAATCTTCATCAAAATCTGTCGGTAAAATCTTACTACTCAACTCTCTGGTGCGCTGACACACGAGAGCAGAATTAGCAAAATTTCAAGTGCTTGATAATTAGTGATTGGAGTGATTCCAATTCAATCACTAATTGATGATCAGTGATTTGCAAAGTAGCCTCAGCACAAACCGGGGGACATGGAGGGCTGTTTTGGGCGGAGATTTTATGTTTTTTTTTATCACGCTGAAAAGTTGCATAAACGCTGTTGCATAAAGTTGCAGTTCACGCTGAAAACATTTTGCTCCACCTTTATGGAGGATATTTAACTTGGGATAGATGTCATCTCTACTGATTACACAATTGCTTGTAACGATTTACTTGAATGAAATAAAATAGCGAAAGTTCTTCATCAATCAAACTTTCTTATTTGCATATCTGTTGGTTGACTTTCTTCTTAGCAGATCTATTGGGTTGTTAATTTTCCTATTAGCAGGTTTGTTGAGAGGTTGACCTGCTTTTTGCCAGATTTCTGGGGTGGTTGAATTTCTAATTATCAGGTTTGTTGGCTGGTTGACTTTCTTATTATCAGATCTGTCGATTGGTTGACATTCTTATCATCAGATCTGTTGGGTTGTTAACTTTCTTATTAGCAGATTTGTTGGGTGGTTGACTTTCTTATCATCAGATCTGTTAGGTGGTTGACTTTCCTATTAGCAGATCTGTTGGATGGTTGACTTTCTTATTAGCAGATCTGTTGAGTGGTTGACTTTCTTATTAGCGGATCTGCTATGCGGTTGGCAGAAGAAAGAGCCTCTGTATAGCCTCTCGTGTGTGGTATGCCTCGTGTGACGCATCGTGTGTGCAGTGCCTTGTTTAGATTAAGTCTCTTGTGTATACACTAATGGAAGCTAAAGCTTGACCTTTGTGGCGTGCGGCTAAAAGTCTAACTCACTGCACACATTGTCCTTATGATTTCAGTTTGTATTTGATCTAGCGCAAATAACCGATAAAATAAACAAAAATTAAATAAATGAGCGAAATTTTGTTTTCATGTAGTAAGGTTAACCGTGAATGATGGAGTAGTATGAACTAAAAGACTCTGTTTCCTTTTTAGATCTCATCTGAAATCAAAAGCCTTCAGGTCATAAATCCTGAATTTTAATTACCTTTGTACCTTATATTGCCGGATACCTTGGATATCCTGTATCTTGATACCCTATTTACCCTGTACCCCTAACCTTATATACCATGTACCTATATACCCTTGTACGCTGTCCCTTATGACCTATATACTCTATACTATATTGTCACCTTGCATTGTGAGGGTATAAGGGGTTTTCTGCAGTGCGGCATATCCTGAAATTCTTTTGCAAAAATATAGCCGCGCAGAATATGCAGAATATGCCACGCTGGAAGGTAAGGCTACTCTACAGGAAATGCCACACTGCAGAAAAATCCATTACTCATATTTCCCGATATTGTGCTCGCTGGCAACGTTGCGCGCTATGCAAATAATAAATAATTTTAACCTGCCTGTATTGCGTGGTAGAGCCACAGAGTCGAATGTTTTTCACTGCTCAATTCCAACCTGAAAGCTGAATTATTAACTAATTTTGAACTTTCCCTGTACTAATCTTCTTCCGATGTCTTTGTACATATTCCTATAGGAATTAATTATTAATCTTGAAACGCCCCTGTTTTAACCTTCTTCGTCAGGCTAATTCCTGCGTGAATTTCCCGTAGACTCATTAATGAAAATTTCTCACGTGAAAATTCAGCCATGTGCTCTTATAAACAATTGTATCAATATCGTATATGCACTCGATGATTGCTATAGAATACTTGGAATGGGTTTGTGTTGTTGGCTTGTAATTGGTAATTGATTGTCGCCCTGAACCCTCTTCCAATCGTTCTCCTATTGTTTGAACGCGTGCTCTGGGGTATCGTCAAACATTGACGATTATATGTGAAATAGAATACGTACATAATCCGGAAATTAAAGTTTTCTGTGTTATTATTTTTACCTATAATATGTTATAATGTGAGTTTTCTCACTAAATTTATGCACAATTGCTTGTTCGCTCTCTTTTGTTGCGTTCCAGTGTAGGTCTTCTCACCCATTTTGAGTTTTAAGTTTTTGTGTTTCTGAAACTCATCGTAAATCTAAAGCCCTTTGAGTGTATTAAGCTTCGATGAAAGAAATATAGGAATGTATGGCGGCCATTTTGAAGAAAATTTGTTGTGTGTTTAATGACTGGCGTTGAATTGTAGTTCTATGCCCACACGAGGCTAGATTTTAGTTTTATATTGTGTAAGGTTCCTTCAAACGAGTCTTCAGTGTCATTACAGAAGTCACAACTCGACGTTCTGTGTGCAGTTTTAGTTGTGAACCTGTAAATTATTTGTCGTACAGCTACTGCGTGGAAATAACTCACTTTTTGCCTGTAAACTGCTGCATGGAACTAATGCACCATTTCCCAGTCGCTGATAAATTATACTAACTTAATATTTTATGACACTATCAGGTCGGCGTTACACACCCGAGCCAAGCGCGCGCAGCAAGCAGAAGCGCGCTCACGGCCCTAAGTTCTACTACATCCCGCACGACAGGATCGTCGAGGAGGGCGAGACCGTCACCTTCCAGTGCGCTATTAAAGGTTAATAAACAGGAATTTCTATCATGTCTTTGAATGAACAGTTTTCAAATTTGGATGTTTTTCCCTTATAATTTTATTAAAAATCAAATGTAATTACAAGCCGTGAAAGATTGAATTTCAAGTCACGGTGGCTTGAATTTCATGCCAGCATTGACCACAGCCCTTTCACCACTTAGTAGCTAACTAGACAGAGCAAATATTCAATCTTCTTTGTGGCTCATTTCGGAAATATATACATAAAAAGTGTCCATATATCCCCATTTTTCTAGACATTTTCGAGTACATAGGCCAACTGTTCTCTACTGTCAAAACAAACCCAGAGTTTTCCATTCATTTTCATTACTAATCTCAAGTGAATGCGTTCATAATTACAGGTCACCCGACCCCAAAGACCAGCTGGGACAAAGACTCGATGAAGCTGATGCAGGGCGGGCGCTACAGGATGGAGGAGCGAGGCGAGGTTCGCACCATCGAGATCACGAAGGTAACGCAGCAGGACGCTGGTCTGTACCGCGTCACCATCGAGAACGACCTGGGCAGGGAGCAGGCAACCGCGCGACTCGACGTCATCAGTGAGTTATAACACTTACAAAAATTCATGGTTGAACTAGTATCAGGTTGACCCATGAGAAGTCCATTTTTGCGGATGTAGTTTGTTGTTCGCCTGTGACGTCACTGATCTCAGTGACGTCACGGGCATTAACCAATCACCGAAATGCGATCAAATCAACCAATCCATAATGGGAATGACGGGTTTGTTTACGTTTCTTGATCTCAGTGACGTAACAAGAAAGCTGAACTGAAAGACGGAAATGATCGTGGGTCAACCTTATATAGTTCAACCATGGAAAAATGAATGTGTCATGTTGTTCTAATAGTGACACTCGCTGCGGGTAGTATTGATATGGTCCTTTTTCGGGTCAAACAGGATAAGATGACCCAAATAATGGAAAAACTGCATCACTATTTGGACAAAATCTCATTAATTTTTCTGCCCGTATGTAAGAAAATAAATTATTAGTTTTTTGAAATTGTAAGATCCTGGTCTTGATGGAGAAATCAACCTGATTCAAATATATACAACTTGAATTTAGGGGGAAATAAATTCGTTCTTATTGTAGTCCCAATTCGCTAAATTCAACAAATTTTCTAATTTTAGGCTGGACGTGGGTCTATCATAGTTTTATTTATTTGTACCATAACTAAATCCACTATGGTTCCGGTATTTTTGTGAACTGATGGGAGTCTGTTTGATTTTCCCTTTCATAATTTAAATTTAACTGAATTAAATTATTCAATTGATTTAATCGTTTTTATATAATTAATTGAATTGAATCAATAAATTGATTTAATCGTTTCTATATATAATTAATTGAATTAAATTATTTAATTTATCTAATCGTTTGTATATATATAATTAATTGAATTTAATTATTCAATTGATTTAATCGTTTTTATATATAATTAATTAAATTCATTTATTCGTTCTTTATATATGATTAATTGAATTCAATTATTCAATTGATTTATACCTTTTTTATGTATAATTAATTGAATTGAATTATTCAATTGCTCTGATAGTCTTTATATAATTAATTGAATTAACTTTTTCAACTAATTTAATATTTTTTATATAATTAAATGAAATAAATTATTCAATTGATTTATTCGTTTTTTATATAATTAACTGAATTGAATACGGGCATTGAGTATATTTAATTGTGGCATCAGAAGCGTCAAGCAACAAGTACGCGGGCTACGTGCGTAGCTGGCACACGTCACCGCTCACAGCCCCTCGCTTCACGCGCGCCCTCCCCAGCACCTCTGTCAGGGACGGCGCTAAGCTCAAGCTCTCCACTGACTTTACTGGCTCGCCTGCACCCCGCGCCAAGTGGTACCGGTGAGTCTTTTGTGGTACCGGTGAGTGGTTCAGTGGTACCGGTGAGTGTTTCTGTGGTACTGGTGAGTGTTTCTGTGGTCCCGGTGAGTCTGTGGTAACGGTCATTGGCTCTGTGGTACCGGTAAGTGGTTCTGTGGGACCGGTGAGTGTTTTGTGTTTTATTTTACCGGTGAGTCGGTGAGTGTTTTGTGGTACCGGTGAGTGGTTTGTGGTACCGGTGAGTGGTTTGTGGTACCGGTGAGTGTTTTGTGGTACCGGTGAGTGTTTTGTGGTACCGGTGAGTGTTTTGTTGTACCGGTGAGTCTTTTGTGGCACCGGTGAGTGTTTGTGGTACCGGTGAGTTAGTTAGTTTAGTGACCCTATTATTACTAGCGCTTCAGCTGCTAAGCTATCTCGCGCCGAATGTCACGTTGGGCATTATGGGCTAAGAACATATTGCATCACATGTATTCAGCGTTGACCAGATCATTGTGGTACCGGTGAGTGTTTTGTGGTACCGGTGAGTCTTTCTGCGGTTCCAGTGAGCGGTTCTGTGGTACAGGTGAATGTTTCGTGGTACCGGTGAGGGTTTTGTGGCACCCCGGTCAGTGGTTCTGTGGTACCGGTGAGTGTTCTGTGGTACAGGAGTCTTTTGTGGTACCGGTGAGTGTTTTGTGGTACCGGTGAGTGTTTTGTGGTACCCGTCAGTAATTCTGTGGTACCGGTCAGTGGTTTTGCGGTAACGGACAGTGGTTCTGTGGTACAGGTCAGTGGTTTGTGGTACCGGTGAGTGTTTTGTGGTACTGTTTGATGCCCGGCAGTGTTGCTGTGTTCTGTAGTAAGGGTCAGTGCTGCGTGTCTTATTGGTAGCCATTAATTTGTTATTTTTCATAATTCTTATTGAACAGGACTATTCAGCTACATACTTGGTATCCATTTTTTTGCCATTATCCGTTAATCATTCACCATAATTTTATTTACCAAACTCGGCTTTCTTTACGTGAACTCTTCGCCGAGATAGTTGAATAATATTATTCCTTTTCATTCATGTTGAATAACATCATTCCTTTTCATTCATGTTGAATAACATCACTCCTTTTCATTCTAGTTGAATAACATCATTTCTTTTCAATCTAGTTGAATAACATCGTTCCTTTTCATTCTAGTTGAATAACAGCATTCCATTTCATTCTAGTCGAATAACAGCATTCCTTTTCATTCTAGTCGAATAACATCATTCCTTTTCATTCTAGTTGAATAACATCATTCCTTTTCATTCTAGTTCATTCTAGTCGAATAACATCATTCCTTTTCATTCTAGTTGAATAACATCATTCCTTTTCATTCATGTTGAATAACATCGTTCCTTTTCATTCTAATCGAATAACATCGTTCATTTTCATTCTAGTTGAATAACATCATTCCTTTTCATTCATGTTGAATAACAGCATTCCTTTTCATTCATGTGGCAGGAATATATTTTTGTTTGCCAAACATGTGCTTTCTTTACGTGAACTTTCCGCCGAGATAGTTAAATGCCAAATGATTCCTCCCTTTTCATTCTAGTTGAATAACAGCATTCCTTTTCATTCTAGTTGAATACACTCATTTCTTCATACCTTTTCATTCTAGTTGAATACACTCATTTCTTCATACCTTTTCATTCTAGTTGAATAACATCATTCCTTTTCATTAATGTGGCAGGAATAACGAGCTGCTGCCGAGCTGCTCGGACTTCGAGCAGACCCGCACCAGCTGCTCGGCGACGCTCGAGATCGCAGCGGCCACGGCCAGCGACGCCGGCACCTACACCTGCGTCATCATCAACGACAAAGGGCGCGCCCATTGCTCCTGTCAGGTGGGTGCCCTTGGCAGGGTACTGTCCGTGGGTGGTGTCTCCCAATGAGATACACAAGTATAAGTTAACGTGGGCGCATGGGTTAAATGGTTCCAGAATCAAATTTTGGCTGTAAGATCCAATTTTGGTTATGTTGCTCAAATTGTTCATAAGATTCAATTTTTGCTCGAATTGCTCATATTGCTCAAAAGATTCAATTTTGGTTATGTTGCTCAAATTGAGGCCATTTGAATAATGATTCTCAGTGGAAGCATCATGAGAGCCTCGCGCACGTGAGGCTCTGGCGAGAATGGCTCCTGTTACGCTGCATGTTAATTGTTTTTCTAGAATAGAATTGCATTTTATCAGCCTCGGGCGAGAAAAACTGTCACGTATATATTTTTCAGCAAGTGTACTGTTAGTAAGGCTACTGTGTAGTTGATTTGATATTGTACGGTAAAATTATAGCACATTTTTATTTCCGATACTGCATAACATATAAATACTATTTTGTTATTTACTACTAGTATAACTTCGTTGTTCTTCATCCTTCATCCCAACTGGACTCCAGTAGATTTGCCAATGTTCATGATCAGCAATATCTAAGTACTTATATCCTTAGTCTGCTTAAAACGCAGTTAACAAGGAATTTGAAAGCAAAAAGAACGCTAAGTAAATAGACCATATCTGTATTGAAAACCTATCTATATCTATTTATATCAATATATCTATATCTCTATCTATATCTTTATCTATATCTATATCTATATCTATATCTATATCTATATCTATTTCTATATCTATATATCTATATCTATATCTATCAATATCTAGTATGAAAGAGTGTTATTACAAAAAAGCTGATTATTGCACCCCGCTTTGGACCCCAGGTGACGGTGGAACACAGGCTCGCGGGGGCGGGGCCCCCTCTCTTCATGGAGGGCCTGCAGCACGACACAGCTTTAGACGGTGACCCCCTCAAGCTGGGGGTTACTTTGCAGGGTAGGTCATGTTGCATGGTAGGTCATGTTGCAGGATAGGTCATGATGCAGGGTAGGTCATGGTGCAGGGTAGGTCATGCTGCAGGGTAGGTCATATTGCAGGGTAGGTCATGTTGCAGGGTAGGTCATGATGCAGGGTAGGTCATGTTGCAGGGTAGGTCATGTTGCAGGGTAGGTCATGTTACGGGGTAGGTAATGTTGCAGGGTAGGTCATGTTGCAGGGTAGGTCATGATGCAGGGTAGGTCATGGTGCAGGGTAGGTCATGCTGCAGGGTAGGTCATGGTGCAGGGTAGGTCATGCTGCAGGGTAGGTCATGTTGCAGGGTAGGTCATGTTGCAGGGTAGGTCATGTTGCAGGGTAGGTCGTGTTGTAGGGCAGGTCATGTTGCAGGGTAGGTCATGTTGCAGCCTTGCAGGGTAGTTCAAGCGTCATGACGGAGAGCTTAGTTCATTTATTTTTTTTAATATTTTTGAAAAATTATCAGAGTATGACTATTAACTACTACAAATGTGATGAATCTCTCTAATGTTTAGATTGACTGCTGATTGAAGACGGAAAATCTTGGTGTGTGAAAGCTTTTGGAACGGATTATCATTCACTGAACATGAGATTCCAGCGCTGAACGCACAAGCTGAACTCTCATCTTTATTTAGAATTAATTTATTATTTAGCATAAATTTTAAACAGCCCTTGAGTAGAAATTTCACCGACAGCCAATACGGACAACCTCTTCCAGTCGTCCACCCTGTACTTTTGTATCTGTCTACCACACCCTTCTTGGTAAACTCTTTTGTGTTGCCTTTTATCTCACAACCCATCCGACTATCCAGTTTTAACTCAGTCTTTATTACACGGATATCGTTTCAGCAATAATATTTTGTACAATCATTGTTTAATCTTGCCTCGGTGGTCCTAATCTTTATTTGCTTCTCCTATTCATCCCAGTTTTTGTTGACTTCCCTCTTACTTGTCCCCATTTTTCGTTCATGAAAGTATTCACCACCAACCTTTTCCCGGCTGATGCAGGGAGTCATCCCATTAAGGTTCTGTGGGTAAAGAACGACCAAATCATCGAAGCTTCAGATCGCCTTCACATCCAGAGCTCCCCTGCAAATTGCTGCACCTCATACCCCACTTCTTCCCCCACCTTTTCCTCCAACTCAAAGTCTTCCCCGTCCTCCACGAAAGCCTCCCCAGCCTCCCCCATCACTGACAGCCATCACTGGCTTGCCTTTGACCAAGTTATCCCTGACGACTCTGGCCTCTACCTCTGCGAGGCGTCCAACCAACACGGAGAAGCCTACTCCTTCTGCAGGCTCAAGGTCTTGGGTGAGTGAGCTTTTATTTATTTTTTTTTTTGTTGAGTTGTCGTCGACTGAATGCTAACGAAGATTCTTGAGCTCACTCTGATTTTTTTGTTTAGTTATTCATTATTCATTGACGTCGTTCATCTTTCACTGCATGGTGTCCCTACATTCATTGAAGTCATTCAGTTCATTAGATTCACTTGTATATATCACCACATCCCCTGGTATCATTCACCACATATTTACTGGTATAATTCACCACATATTCAGTGATATCATTCACCACATATTCACTGGCATCAATAACCGCATATTCACTGGTATCAATCACCACATCCACTGGTTAGATTCACCATATTTTCACTAGTATCACTCACCACATATTCACTGGTATCATTCACTGCATATTCACTGGTACCATTTATTACATTCACATTTATCATTCACCAAAATCGCTAGCATCATTCATCTTCGAGCTGCGACCTGTGCTCCGGATGCTGATAAGCGTCAACATAGAACGCGTTTGATTATTTACCTCGGCGTGTGACTGCTAATGTGTGAATTTACCACGCAATCATAGGCAATAATGCTCTTCATTAGGAAATAACTAACTGATAAAAACTGTATATTGTAATAACTATCTTGATGGCCATGTAAGTTTTACTGAGTAAAATTTATCATTATTATTATTATCAATCTTGATTGCTCCTCGATGATGCCTTGGTTGATCAATCGTGCCTTATATTATCACTCGTACCTTGGCTGTTCATTAATGTCTTGCTAATGAGGGATTACGCCACAGCATGTGGGACATGCCACAGTGGGACATGCCACAGTGGCTCATTAATGCCAACCACAGCCCGGGGTTCGTGCGTGACGAGTTTGAGGCTCTCACACAAGGGCGCTTCTCGGCCCATTGTTCTGCCGACCTCCGACTGCCCCCTTCTTTCCCTTGCCATCTATTTGTTCTTTTTATTGTTCAAACAAGTGCTGTTTTTAAGTCATTGTTGCAAATTTTTTTTCAAGATCGGACTTGAACAACTACGATCGTAAACCTAAAAAGTAAAATGCTTAATATTTTAACTATTGGTCCATGACCTCAAAAATTTCAGACTCTGGTGCTTTAGTTTGAACCATGAGTGATCATTTAAACTTGAATGTTTCGGAGTCATTCCGCAACCCATGGATGGCTGTCTTTAATTCGCGTGTAATTTATCATAGGATATGCGAGCGATCCCAGCTTATGTAGCTAATGTAGCTCTCCTTTTCTGCCGCCTTATGGATGACAGTAGTGGATGGATGAGACGTTGATGCATCGTGCGTGCCGTGCGTGCTCTGAGTGCACTCAACACTCCGGCGCCGGATGCCGGTCAGACGTTTGGAAAAATTTCAAGTCGTTGCACAATTTCAACTAGTGATGTTACTACAAATATCATTCATACGTTTTTCACTGTAGGAAAATTCGCCCCGTGGCAATTTCGATCTATGACTAGTCTTCCTTTGACAAGTAACACTATTACAGTCACCAGGACAAGTAGCCTTGTGACTAGTCAACCAATATGGCAAATCCTCCTATGACAAGTCACCCTACGATAAGTGACCCTATCTGACAGGTCACCTTGCGATAAGTCGCTATAAGATAAGTCGCCGTAAGATAAGGAGCAAGCCCTATGACTCCTCTGAAATTGTTTTCACTAGAATTGCGTTCTACGTTGGACATCGATAAGCCCTGATTAGATACCATCACAGTCGGCATTTACATCGCCTTCTTGCTTCTCTATTAAGAAATCGTGAGGATATCTTAGTTCCAGTTGATTGTTGATAACCAAAAGTTTTCAGCTGATCGAAGTTTAATATCTTGAGTTGTAATCGGCCAATCGGAAGCCAGATAATGTATATTGCGTATATATCATACACAGCACACTAGATGGCATGACAAAACATATATCGATCACACGGTCCGTTGCAGGACTTCGTTGGGTGCCACTACTGTTAAGATTTAAAGTAAATTATCAATCATTATTAGGACTATTCGTTTTACTTATGAGATCCTATCAGATCCTATGAGACGACATGTAATAGGATGGTCGAGCAAACTTTTATCGGGAATTTGGAAAGAGAAATGAAAGATTTGTCCCGAAAAAAATTAAAAGAGAGCTGACTGATAAAATGTGGAACTAGGATGAAAAGAGTAACAAAGATCAGTTATATAAACGAAGAAATAAGTGCAGGAAAGGAATGCCAGTGAAGTGGAGGGCAGTGCGAGAAGGACGGCGAGGTGTATTGGGTGTCAATTAATCTTGTGGTGCTTGAGACGCGCGCCACATTGTTGGTGTGCGGGGCAGCGGCCGCGGCACAGAACGCCTCTGTTGTGAAGCACGGCGCAGTGCTGAGGTGGTCGCCGTGCTGCTGGCATGGACGGTGCTGTAGTTAGGGACATTCGTGCTGACTTGACTGTGGGACTGACTCGCCTCTAGGGATTGACTCATGTGGGGTGTGATGGTCAGGAAATGTTGACTCATGTGGGATGTGATGGTCAGGAAATGTTGACTCATGTGGGGTGTGATGGCCCTGAGGTGTTACTCATGTGGGGTGTGATGGTTAGGAATTGTTGACTCATGTGGGGTATGGTGATGTGGGGTGTGTGGATGGGGATGTGGATGTGGATACATGTAGGGTATGGTAACCCGGAGATGTTGAATCATGTGGGGTGTGATGGACAGGAAATGTTGACTCATGTGGGGTGTGATGGCCCTGAGGTGTGATGGCTCAATGTGACCACTCGATTAGTGATGCAGTGAATATTATACACTCTAGTGCTGCAAGAGATTGATCAGACCAATTATCCGTGCCTCCATTTATCGTCATCCACTTACCCGTGTTTGGCCAATGGTCGAGCCGATACATCGCTCTGTGCATATAATTTATAAAGCCATCACTTTATTTCCAGTGCTGCCAATTTCCGGCTGTCGTACATTTAGCGGACGAGTCCATTTCCAGATATTGAACATTCGTTAATTGTGCAAGTACCCTCAAAGAAACTAGACACTCGATGTGCAAGTCCATTTAAAGATATTTGAATTCGACGCGCAAGTCCACTTAAAGAAATTGGACATTCGATGTGCAACTCTATTTTCTAATATTGGAACATTTGATGTGCAAGTCTACTTCCATATTTTGTACATTCGATGTACAAGCCCACTGAAAAATGTTGGACATTCGATGTGCAAGCCCACTGAAAAAATATTGGACATTCGATGTGCAAGTCCACTTTTTAGTTGTATAACGACCATTCCTCGCTTGTATATCTCGTATATTTCGTTGACTTACCCGAATAAACAGTGGATATTTCAAGGATATTTTGTGCGTCCTCTGATGGGGATGATATCAGGACAAAAGATAATAACAAAAGCAGAACTAATAGCGCCTCGTTAATATGTATGCGCATACGTGCTCTGAAATCAGTTTCTAAAATTGTTATTATTTTAATATTTTAAATTAATTTCATAAAAATGTCATCAGTTCATACCACTTCGAAGCTAAAGTTGCTTCTTTTATCTCGTCCTTCTTGCATCGTTCTAACATCATCATATCATCTGTGCTTAATTAACAGTGCTACGTATAATAATTATAATTTCAATTAATACAGTGTTCGTTAGTTGGCATTAGAATATTTGAAACACGCTTTTGATTACAGGGGAGAACTTATGCTAGTGATTATTCTTTTTTTCACAGTCACAACTAATTTTTTTTACGAATGTCAAAAAGTTTTCCAATAATTCGCCAGAACAATTAAGTTATTTCTCATCCAATCGAATCGCGTAAGTATCAGTATTTATGAATTATAGTTAATAGAAATTTGTAATAAAAAATGTATCTAATTAAAACTTGATTATTCATCACTATTGTGCCGAGGTTTGTCTCCGGCGATATTAATAATTCATAATCATTCATCAATACTCATCGAGAGTAAACGATCAACTTCAATCTCTTAGTAAATTTAAAGAGCATTCACTAAAATATCATAGAGAACTTCCCATTATCTTATACTAGCAGGTTAGCAAGGCGTTGCCCGCGCTTGATAATTCCTGCAATTTCTGAATCCCGAATTCCCATTACGTCTGATCCCATTATAAAGTTTATGTATTCTAATTAAATAAAGACCCTTTCATACCAAAATTTAACATAGAAGATAGGATTTTTATTTAACTCTCGTGTAGAAAAATGGGGAAAACAATTTTGTGTATTCTAAATTAGACGTAGTTTATTAGGGAAAATTGTGTTTCCATTTACGATCTAATAGAAAAAGATTTAAGTGAAGGATTGGATCACAAATTGAAATGTTATTTCTAAATCCTTTTATATAACTAATTTGGTGTAAGAGAAGAATTCTTTCATATTCTGACCTAGTTAGAGAAAAATTCTGACAATATGAAATATTTTATCATATTTCATATTGATAAAAAATTCTTGAGTAAAATGGAAGTCGTATACCTTCTATGTGAAAACTAATTGGATTGAAGAGGATTTCATTGAATTTAAATGCATGAGCTTTATTATTGCTATCGGGATTAGGGATTAGGTGAATGGCGGGATTTGGGTGGCACGATTTCGAATTTACAAGAATTATCAAGCTAACCTGCTTTGAATTGTACTGAATAATTGTATATTGAATACGAATTATTTGTTGACTTCTTTTATAAACAAACTTTATGGCACGTGTGAAAAATTTTTTTAAGTTAATTAGAAATTATTTGTTTGCATTTCATATGATGTCCACTTTGCTAATCGTAATTACTTCTCTTTTTACTCATCATTACGCTGCTGGGAACGCTCATTTCCGAATACTTCTTCAAACTCTTTTATTGATCTTTATTCGGAAAATAGCGACGTTTAGTAAAGACGATGTGCAACAATTCTCGAACACATGTCGTGATTTAAGCAAAATGAGCAGGCATTACTCATCCATTACCGAGAATTAATCCAATGAAATTTGGAGAAAAACGTAATTTTGCTTCAAAGTTTACCCAAGACCGAAATTTGCAAATTTGTTCAATCGTTCGCTGTTCCGTGTTTGCGCGAAGCCGAGAAACGATATACATTTCAATTTTCCGACACTAGATTATATCAATTATAAGTTTCCTTTACCTCGTCAGTTACTAGAATATTTTGCAGTTAAATATTTTGCAGTTAAATATTTTGCAGTCAGTTACATTGCTACTATAGCCTAGTCATTAAATAGAGATGTGATTTAATCCCGCATATATTAATTCAATGCTTACAGACAACTGCACTTGTTCACAACAGAGATCAGATGTTAACATTAGTTCAGATATAATTTCCTTCAATTCTATTATTAAATACTTTGATCTCACGTGTAAAAATCCATGCCATTCGGCAAAATAGGTTGAGTTCTATGGAGCATAAAATGATATTAGCAACTTCAAACACGATCCTGATAGTTATGTAATCTCCATTTATATTCCTGTATTATGATTATACTCTACTCGTAATTTATTATGGTGATATCCATTCCTATATATACTACGTTATGCTTCTATACTATTAATTGTCTATTGTGGTCACTAGTCCTATATTCTATGCTCTCCTACTACTATTACCACAAATTAAATAGTATTACTATTAATAATGAACAATTACCGCTAAATAGTGACTACCACTAAATTATTACTTGAATACTTGGCTGTGGTATTTACCTATCAAGTCTAGGGAAACAGGTCTTGATCTTATTTTTTTTTTAGCTTGTAACTTTATGCATATCCTAGATCATATGCCTCCTTCTCGCATTACTTGCCCAGCCACCACCTCGTATATTGTTAGATAAGGCCCTTTTTTAATAATAATAATGATAATTTTTTCGCATGACCCAGATATTGATGAACATTACAATGTATTCTCGATCGTTAATACTATTTTCGTTATTCCGGTAGGAATAGTGGCAAGAATTTTGTTTTGTAGCGTTTGAAAGCACCGCGTGTGAGACGGCTGGTAGGATCGAGTACAGAAATGTTTACAGTTGATAGACGCGTGCTACAAGATGTTTGTTTGACGTGCGCTACAACACATTTGGATGTTTGGCGTCCGCTACAACACATTTGTATGTTTGTCGTCCGCTACAACACATTTGTATGTTTGGCGTCCGCTACTACATATGTTTGTATCCCCGCTAGTTCTGTTTTCAGCGCCATGTAGCAGGCCTCTTTCTTTTTAGGGCTCAGCCCTCGCGTTTGTTTGCAAATTTTTTTATTATTTAAAGGTTAATACCGAATTTCGGTTCGTTTAGAGACAGAGAGAATAGAGAACATTACGAAAAATTCCCAGAATCATTCCGTTTGTGAGGAAGCTTTATGATCACGATCTTAATTCGAATACTTTTTTCTAACAAATGTAAATAATAAAAGATAACTCGAATTTATATTCGCGCTTGTTACCACAGACCCTCAGGAGTGTGCCCCCTGCCCCCCCACGATCATCGGGGCATTCACCCCCCTGACAGTGAGGGAGCGCGCGAGGGCAAGATTTAGGGCCATCGTTACTGGCCACCCGCGGCCAGCCATCACATGGCAGCTTGATGGACAGCCCATCGTGTCCTCCAAGTCTGTCCAGGTATAGCGGAAGCATTTAAAGGAACATTTAAAGGAACCTAACATGAAATTAAAATTTTATAGCGATTGAACTTGGTTTCTTTGTAGAACAAAATAGCGAAAAAGTCCTTCTAACATTAATAAAAGGGAAAAATACGAACAATAACATCAATTTGGATCGTGAGGCTGAATAAAATCTTTTTCGAAATCGATCAACGTTGTGCTTGCTCCTATGATTTATAAAATAAGGATTCAATAAACTCTTGATTGAGCTTTTTGTTTAAAAACTAATTAAGAGACTTTTGTGGCACTTCATTTGTGAAAGAACTTCAGTATTGACGAGAACATCTAAATAGCTGAATAAGCTATAATTTTCCTAAGTTACTTACAGTTATATGAATGATTGATGACTATATTCTGCCCTGCTGGCACCAGATCACATGTCACGAGTCCGAAGAAGGCTTAGTGGTTTACTTGAGCTTCCCGAGCGCTGGTGTTGGTGACAGCGGCACCATCAGCCTCACAGCAACCAACGTTGCCGGCACACAAACTCTCCTCACTAGCCTCATAGTGAGTACCAACGTCGCAGGTACCCTCCTCACTAGCCTCATAGTGAGTACCAACGTCGCAGGTACCCTCCTCACTAGCCTCATAGTGAGTACCAACGTCGCAGGTACCCTCCTCACTAGCCTCATAGTGAGGAGAGTCTAATTTCTTGTAATACCAGGTAATAAATTATTTTATATGCTGTATAATTATTTTTGTAAAGTAATAACACTGTAAACATTTTGCCATGCAGGTGATTCCTGAAACCGACGCCGAGAGGCCGCGAACATCGAACGCCAGCCGATCTTTGGCCGAAAAAACTGAGCCTCCGTCGAGCCAAAGTCGAAATGTTCTCAGGACCGCCAACCCTACAGACGCAAGGAAGTCTCGGTCTCCTATTAAGCAAAAGACCCTAAGCATTAAATCTAAGCCTACCGCCTCCAAACTAAACGAAAATAATCGCTTGGTTTCCGTTACAACCAATAAGGAATCATCTTCTCAGAAGAGTGCAAGTCATTCATCTACTGAGCAGTCTAGTCCGCAGTCTCCGTCACCTCGAGCCAGTATAACGCGCACTCCATCACCTCATCTAACGTACCAATTTAAGTCATTGTCAGCCTCCACATCTAGAAGTTCAATAAAATCGCGATCAACATCACCGGTTTGCATAACGACTCGACTCTGTCGTCTTGAATCGTTGAAGAACGACTATAATTTTGATTATAATGACGACCTTAGGTTCAAATCTACGGTACGACGGTTTAGTCAAGAAATTGAGGCATTGAGTGCGAATGGATCACAGGAATCTTCTAAAATCAAATCTGGTTGCCAGTCTCCTACGGATATCGACAACGGTGCAGCGAATTTAAGAGGACGCCCACCCATCGCTAAATCTTACAGCAAATCTACCGTGGTGTCTCGCACTCAATCTAATCACTTATCTCGGTCAGTTTCTCCTTCATCAATCAAATCAATCTCACCTTCTACAACCTCTTCTGAACTTAGAGGGTTGAAGTTGGGTGCAGGGTTAGATTTGGGTGCATCAAAGTCGTCAGCGTCTACCAAAAAGCCGTCTCAGGGTAACACGTCGGCAGCAAAATCTTCTTCTGGACCTTCGACGACATCTCCGCTCTCTCGGCCGTCCTCGTCCCCCTCACCCACACACGCCATTTCTCCTCGTGTCAACGCCTCAAAAGTCCTTCTAGCAAAGTCGGTGGTTCAGAGATCTCAATCTCTCAAAACCCCCCTAAGGAGTTCAACCAATCCTGAGCAGCGGAAACTGGCTGCAAAATACTCGTTCCGAGCCGCTTCTCTCGAATCACGACCAGAACGAATTATCCAGCCTCTTCAAAAGAAGAGTGTAGAGACGAAGAAATCTACCGAGATTGTTACTGGAGAAAAACAAGAAACTACAACACGTATATCGACAACTGGTGAACCCTTAAAATTAAATTGCAATGACTCTTGTCCAAAGAAAACTGTTCTTAAAGCTAAGCCGAAATCTCCGTTAAATGGAATAGCTGCTTCTTCCGCGTCTCCAAAAGAAACCATAAAACTTGGATGCGGCTCTTTCAACACAACAAAAGCTGAAACTCGCAGTAAATCGTCGCCTAGTCGTGGAGCCGAAAGAATGGCTACCGCTCTCCCCCCAAATAATCTCACATCTGTAGATGCAAAATCGAAGGTAAGGAATGTTCTCGTATTTTTTTGCATTGTAATTACTCATTACTAGCTAATCATACTCAATACCTATTTTATTAAAATGAGTGTTGGTTTGTCTTCTTAAATAAATAAACCTGTAATGAGTGTGTTTTTAACCGAATTACTATCGCATTGGATTTTTTTCTCGTACCTCATTTTTAATTTTTTTTTTCTTTTTCAGCGTCCTCCGTCCCCAAATTTGGTTCCTGAATCCAAAACCGCAAATAAACTTACCGTGACTACCTCTCATAAAAATATTACTGGGGCAGCTAGCCGCGATGCCACGCCTAATTCAAAAAATAATTCTAGAGTTAGTGCTCTCAGAGATAAATTTAACGAAAACTCAAGTAATTCAACAAAGAAAGTATCAGCCAATTCCCCTGCCGTACCTCGAACATTTTTAAGAAAGGTTAAGATAGAGAACTCGCAGGGAACATTCTCTGCTTCACATAGTGCAGAAGATAAACCGATTTCCACTCCTCTCTCGATATCTAGAAATATAAGCGCACCTGAAATTGAAACTAAATTGCAGTTAGCTAGATCTAGTTCACCTAAATATTCCAAAAGTAATTCGTACAATAAATGCATAAACTCGCCAAGGAACTCAACTAAAGGTGGCACTCGGGTCGCCGACATTTCCTCTAAATTTCGTGTCAACAAAATTGAATCGACCACTCATCAAAATTCTACCAACAACGACAAAATTATTTCCCATTCACCGGAAAATTCAGAGGGGATTGTCACGAGACGTGTATCAGGTTCTATTGACCATCAGAATGATAGTCAAATCGTTGATGAAGTTACCTATGAGCCACTTCTATCAACGCGTAAAACTAAATTAAGTAAACTTGGTCCTTCGTTTACTAATCGTGTTTCTAGTACTGAATTAGAGCTTATTAAACCAAAAACCATCATTGATTCAACGCCCTCTTCAATCGCCACTTCTACTGAACAAGAAGAAACCTCTACCACCAAAGGTTTACCGACGAAACCTAGGCCTTCTTCTTTAATTTTGATATCCCATTCACGGCCTAAAAGCTCATCTATGCGAGCTAGCAGTGGAGATATTGAAGTACAGCAAACTACCATGACTAAAGATGATTCCATGCCTTTAAACACAAGCACTGATCCTGCATCTCAATCGCGAAAATCATCCTTGACCACTCCACCCAAGCCCACTCTTTCATCGCATACTAAACAATTTGAGATCAAACCTCGAGAGTGTAAAGCTGACGAAGCAAGCGTGGAGTGCTCCCCTACTAAAGCCTTGCCTCCTTCACCTCAACCTTCAGCTAGAAGGGAAAATGTGGTTTTACGATTGTCAAGTATCAGTTCTGTTCGTTCAACCGTTTCATCTCATTTGAAATTAGAGTGTGACGACAGTGACGGGGAAAATGATACAGAGACAGTATTGAAAATATTGGAAAGACACATTTCCGCTACTACTGAGGGTGAGAGACTACCTCTTGATGGACATTCTCAGGTAAAAGACGAAGATGACGAAGAAGGAGCCCAGATCACTTCGGGCCCAGACGATGTGATCGTCATCAAAGGCCAGTCTGCCACCCTCGCAATCCGCTACTGCGGCAACCCGGAGCCCGAGGTCACTTGGCTGAAAAAGGTATAACTTTGACCCCTAAGAGAATTCATTCCTCATAGTATCGCTTCTTTCCTTGTCTCAATTTTTCATAATTAATGTTTATTTGCATTACAATTCAGTGTTGGATATAAATTATCTTTCGGATCGAAAATGTTATAATTAACTTGAAACGTTAAAGACCGCGGCAATGTTGGTTTGTATGTGGAATCTGTAATTTAACAGACATAGAGATGCATTTAACGATATAACAGACGACGCAATATTCTCACATGATGTAATAACAAAAAGCTTTTAAACTCAGGACCAGATTCTGAAAGACGACGGTCGGTACACGGTCGATACAAGCAACGGACGCTCGTCTCTGTCCATCCACAATGTAACGGCCGACGACAGCGCAAAGTACACGGTCGTCGTCCGCAACTGCATCAGCGCGCACGCCGGCTTTGCCTCGCTCTCCGTAGAAGGTAGATGAATGTTATGGGATACGGGAAAATTCTGTAGATAATTTCATCATATAAAGCCTGCTTATACGGATATAATAAACCGTTTGCTCTGCTTTTTCTGTCTGAAGTTAAGGTAATGGTTGCTAGGGTTAGTAGATGAAGAATCTACTCGTATCTAAAGGCTTGGCTGCGGGGATTACAGCCAGTGGACAGAGATATTATTTGTGTCGTCTGTGTAAAGTTCCTTTTAGTAAGACCTGTGCTATGCATGTAGTACCACATGTGCCTTGTAGTATCTTCTCTGTCTTGTAGTTCCACTTGTCCACCTGTGACTTGTCGAGTACCACTTCCGACTTGTCGAATACCACTTGTGACTATATTGTCACTTTTTATCGTGTTTGTCATGCATTAAAACGCATGTATTGTCGTGTTTGCCATGCATTATAACGCGTGTATTGTCATGTTTGACGTGCAGTATAACGCATGTATTGTCATGTTTGCCATCATACATTATAACGCATGTATTGTCATGTTTGCCATGCATTATAACGCATGTATTGTCATGTTTGCCATGCATTATAACGCATGTATTGTCTCATCAGACGTGCCGCAAGCGCCCGCGGCACAGCCTAACCTGAGCGAGGTGGGCGCGGGCTGCGTGACGCTGTCCTGGTACGGCCCTGCCTACGACGGGGGGTCAGTCGTCACGGGCTACACGGTCCAGACCAGGAAGGTCGGACAGGTGCTGTGGACGTCGCTCGTCGAGAAGTACGTTCAAATATTAGATTAATCCAAGTTAAACTACAAATTAAATTACTAATTAAATGAAATTCATTTCGTTTAATTAGTTATTAAACGTCGAGAAGTACGTTCAAATATTAGATAATTCAAGATAAACTACAAATTATATTACTAATTAAATGAAATTCATTTCGTTTAATTAGTTATTAAACGTCGAGAAGTACGTTCAAATATTAGATAATTCAAGATAAACTACAAATTAAATTACTAATTAAACGAAACCGTGGTTCAAGAGGAAGTGTATTGTTGAGTTAATAAAGATTGACATGAATTAATTAATTTCTGATAAAGTTCGTAAGGAGGCGTGTTGAAATTGTTAACATAATGGTATTTCTCAGATGGTTCTCATAGTAGCCTTGTATTATTCTGAAATTATTTCAACACAGAGGGCTGATGACGAAAATGTTGCCTCGTTATTTTTCTGATGCTACCTTATATGGCACTGGGAACATATCCACAGCTGTTATAGCTTGAATTTGTTCATGTGTAGTTTAAAAAGATGGCATAAGCCGTATTTTTTTAATCACTTTATGTATTTATGAAAAATTTTACCCACGGTATGGATTGATAGTCGTTGACTTTTCATCACTCTTTTCTTATCACCCTCAACGAATCGGTTATCCTATTTCAGTAGTGTTATCTCGATTCAGTATTAAAAACACTTTATGTGTGATTGGAAGATATTTATATAGTTTCAGCATATTCGTATTTTCATTTTTAGTTTGCATAATTGTTTGTTATAAATGTAAATGTCACAGGACTTCTTACATTTCTTCTTAAAATCACTTGACAGCTTAAATCGCAAGTCTATCAAAAATTTAAAAGCAAAGAAAATAGCCAGAAAATTCACCATTTCTTAAAAAGGAAAACGTTTCGGAGACCAGCTCCATCATCAGTTCAAAACCTAAAACACAGGTACAAACAATTAGCAATAAATTCACATTGATGCATAAATCGTCAAATGAGAAACAAACAAGAATGAAGCAAACACGGGCACAAATCTATCTATTTACAATTTCGAGGGGGATATGAACTATTAGCGGCATTTAAAATAGGCTTTTGTTTAAAAATATAAAGGGACTCTAGAATTCGCAAGTCGGAAACACCGGTCGTGGAGGCTAAAATTCGAAAATACTATCGGACACTGGGACGTTGCACTGCTCGGCATGGACGCGTACTGCTGAATGTGGGGGATGCGCAAGCAGGTTTCCTGTTCTAAAACTCCTTCCTTTATGCTCCGCCAGCCTAGTATAAAAGTTGCGAGATGTCATACCGACATACGCAGATGCGATCAAAATACGGTGAAGATGGATGCCAGTGTTTTAGAAAGTACTGTGATCTTCACCGAAAGTCGGCCAAGACTTCTTTAGACATAAACTTTTTGGTTAAGTGCAAAGTTTACGGTGTTTTCCCTAAGTTTTTAAGGTTCAGACTTTACAAACGTTGTTTGCATACCTCGTCATTTTACAAGTCATGGCAGAACAAGCTCCTTTGCAAGGAACTATCGTCCAAGAAGAAAACCTTGAAAATTTTAACCGTTTTGATCACTGACAGTGAAGCTCGGGTTGGGAATTTATTTTCCATCCTTGATGCCTACGCAATCCGTCAGCATGTCAGACGTCTAACCGAAGCATTCAAGAATACTACTAGTCAGACCCATCATAAGAAACTTAGCAACCTCGGGATCCATAATGAAATCCATCCTTGTAACCCTGATAAAGTAGTTTTCAATTTTAGTTCATACAACTTGGAACCTCGAACCAAATTCTTGCTGGCTTTCGGGCTTGATTTTTGTCTGCCTGTTTTTAAATTAGACTTCTATAAATACTTTTTAGCCTTTGAAAGACTTGCTCTTAGCATAAGAAATGTTTCTATTGCCAATCGTCCTGAATTTCTGGGCAACTTGCAAAGCCTAGCTTACCGTCATTTTACGGCTTTAAATCTTATAAAATTTTCTCATCAGTTTTCCAACCCCGTGACACCCTTCTGTTGAAGGACTTGGCCAAAAATAAGGACCTAATCATTTGTAAGCCAGATAAGGGCAAGGGCGTTGTATTAGTTGACCGTAATCGTTACCACAGTAGCCTTTCTACTCTCATTACAGACCCTTCTAAATATATCGAAATTACGGATCCAATTGCTAAAACAGTCCTGAAGATTGAGGACAAAATTAATAATTTCCTAAGAAAACTTAAAGATTCTGCTGCACTTTCATCTGAAAATTACTTCAAACTTTATGCATCTGGCTCTTCCCCTGGTATTTTGTATGGCTTACCCAAAATTCATAAACCAGATTTCGCATTGAAATTTCAATTCCGCCCAATCTTTGCTGTTACAATACTCCGAGCTTCAAACTTGCTAAATTTTTAGTTCCCGTTTTGAACTGTCTCACCACCAATCAGTATACGGTAGACAACACTTGCATGTTCGTGGATCGCTTGAAAAAATAATTCTCTAATGTTCAGGACTTGACTATGGCTTCTTTTGATGTAGAAAATTTGTTTACCAATATACCCCTCCATGAAACTATCGATATAAGTTCTTTGTTTAAAAGTGTCAATGACTGTGTCATGGGTTTGAACCGCAACTGTTTTAAATCTCTTCTTGAATTATCTGTTTTAAACTCAGTTTTTGTATTTGCTGGCAAATTTTATAGACAAATTGATGGTTTGGGCATGGATCTTACTCTCGGCCCTACTTTTGCAAACATTTTTATGTGTTGTCACGAGGCTACATGGCTGGCTAATTGTCCTCTTGATTTTAAGCCTCTATTATATAACCGGTATGTCGATGGCACTTTTTTGATTTTCAAGCATCCCTCACATGTAGGCCTCTTTTTTGATTATCTTAATCTCCAGCACAAGTCCATCAAGTTTACCATGGAGCTAGAATCTAACAATAGTCTATCTTTTCTTGATTGCAATGTCACAAAATCAAATGGACGTTTTCAGACCTCTGTTTACCGAAAATCAACGTTTATCGGTTTATGCACCAGCTTCTTCTGCTTTTGTTCATTTCGTTTCAAATTAAATGGTATTCGAACGTTAATAAACCGAGGCTTTCGTATCTGCTCAACTTTCCATACTATGCACTCTGAATTTTAATTTTTACGCAGTACGTTTTCACTTAATGGGTTTCCGTCGCAATTCGTATATACTCAAATTAAGAAATTTTTGTCTAAGCAATATTATGAGGTTGTTTCAGAACGTGACCATAGGAATGCTGTTTATTGGTCATTTCCTTACTTTGGCCCCGCTTCTGAGTCTATGGCTAAAGAGTTGAAAGGTTTGTTCTCTAAATACCTCCCAAATGTAAATCTTCATGTATTGCTGGTGAATAATTTTAAAATCAGTTCTTTTTGCAAGTTCTTGTCAGTTCTTGTCATTAAAAAAGGAGAAATTCTCGCAGTGACTTGTATTCTACCAGCTTTGGTTATTGGATGCTTCTATTATCTCACTCTGGACTTTTGTCTTAGCGTTTTCCTAGCGACATTCTAACTCTATTTCTCACGTGTCTTTGATCAATTTGCTGAAAATGGAAGCAAAACAGCTAATTCTTTATTTAGAATTATTCTTCCCAAGTGTTTGTTGTCAATTTGAAGTATTCAATTCTCCGTTTATTTTAAAAGCATACGTGCGTCTGATTTGTTGTCATTTCGTAGTAGCTGAGTGACTAAAATGTAACGTGGTTCTTGATTGATCGGTTTCTTACTGAAAAATTTGGTAAATGTTACAACTTCTGAATGTGTTTTATCAGATTTATAGTTTTTTTACTTGCCTCCACCATTAGCAGCTCAAGTTGCTGAAATTTTTTTTGTACATATAGCTAACTCAATTATTTTATTATATTTTGATGGGTTCGTTTATGGTACTTCACAATCAAGTAATGAATTTCATATTTATTCTTCAGCTCATTGTTAACACAGTTGCTAATTCAGGCACTTGAGTTGCGCTACTGCGGCGTCATGCAGCAAAATAAAGCAAATTATATTGTGATTTAATTTAATTTTTAATACAGGGAATTGCATTCCTTCTTAAAATGAATTTGTTTTATTTGAAACTATTTGCGTTTGTAGGATGAAATTCGTAGACTTAATTCATTACATTTACTTTTGATTTTTTTTAAGGAATTCTAGAGCCACTCCAGCAGTAAAAGTCTCTTCTGGAAATCTCGTTTGTCACCACGAGTTGCCATATTTTGACGGCAACAAATTTGCGTCAAAATTTTCTGACTGGTAGAAGTATTTAATGTGTCCGTAGATTTAACGTATGTTTAAGAACGCTTCTGAGGACCTATATATCCTTACAAATATATACCTATAAGTAATTTAAGTTGGAATGCACGTAAAACATGATTGTGCTCTAAAATTGTATTTATTTCAAGTCAGTAGTAAATTCTCTCTACTGAGATATTGTTGTCTCATGAATCCGGTTTCCATTTTTAGGACGAAATTATTCTTCTTGGCAGTTAATTGGTTTTAATACAATGTTCAATTGCCTATTTCTCGGGAGAAAAAATCCAACTATCTCGCCATTCTGAGCGTGGCTCAGGATTGCTTTGATTACATTCAAGAATATTCGTTGTTCTGCAATTATTGTAATTTTACTGATTAATATCGCATTTTGTCCTAAATTCAATTATTGAGCAAATCACCTGTCCACTTACGAACATTTTATTTTCCTTGAAGCGTGTTTGGAATTTTGTAGCTATTGGCTTAATTGTTGTAGGTATAATAATTGATGAAATCATTTACTTAGAAAATCATCCAAGGTTTTAAATTGTTGAATTGAGAAACGTTGGTTACTTGTACCTGTACTACAGATGTTAATTGTTGTACCGATGAAGCTTCTTTATTTTGATTATGTATATAATTTATGTATGATTATATAATTCCTATAATTATAATTCTTTATGATTATGTATATAATTCCGCTTATGGCTTGTTATCTCTTAGCTCTGTCACTTTC